CCCAACTCCACAGGACTTGGAACTCGCGCTCTCCGATTGTTGAGGCTGCTGGGGGCTCCTCCCCCTCCACACCTCCCTTGTGCTTGCGTCTGCTGCTTTGGATGCCAGCGCTTCCTCTGGTGTGGTCTGGAAGGTGAGTTCATTCTTCGTGAACAACCGCTTCATCTTGCAGACTGCATACTAACCTGCCACGGAGCATTTTCTTCAAGTTGGTAAAGTTGCAAAGTGCCAACTGTCTCAGCACCACAACATATGAGGCAAAGCCTTCGGTAGTGCCCTGGCTCCGTATGCAGAATGCATGCTGCTGCGCTATTTCAGATGGCTTTGGAGCCAAATGTTCTTCCAACGCAGCCACAATGTCTTCATAAAAAGTAGCTGCCAACTTCGCAGGTGCCAAGAGAGCCTGTGCCAAGGCAAACATGCTAGCCCCACATACACTCAGGAACACAGCTCTGTTCTTGGTGGGTTCCATAATTCCATTTGCCAGTAAGTAAAATTCTAGTCACTCAGAGTGGTTTCCCCACTTCCCTGAGCAAGTGGGGTCAGATTCCTCTAGGTGGCCCTGAGTGGCCATGGTCCCCTCTGCGTCTGTGGTGGCAGCTGCTTCGTCTCAGTCTTCAACCCCGTCAGTCAACTTGCCTGGCCCCAGCATCCCGCATCCGATCCTCATTGCCAGTATCCCGCATTGAGAGGGCGAGGCAGTTGCAATAGGTCAACCATGGACTGTTTATTGAATAATCACCAGCATCAGAGCACAACGTCTGGAAACAACTCTTAGTTAACTAGAACTAACTTAAACAACTTTCCCACGTGTGGGAAAGACTCACTGCTCCACCCCTAATGTCTGCAGTGGCTCAAACAGCCCAATACATAACACAGAGCACGCACTGTACTAGTGAGCTACATCCCCTGAGTGTATGTTTTACATAACAGTGATCAGAGCTAGAGTTGTCAGGTCCTTACCACTTGCTGGTGGGGGAGAAAGGGAGCCTTCTGGGAGTGGGGAGGGGCCCTGCCCCCAAACAGCAATGTCGCCAACACAATGATGTCATGTGGGAGTGACGACATCATGTCGGGGATGTTGTGCAGCGACACTCTGGTTTAAGGGCAAAACTCTATGGTTTTACCATAGAGTTTTGCCCTCAAAACAGAGTGTCATGGCCAGCAGCCGGGAGAAGCCTCCCAAAGCAGGGGATCCTCTGTTTGGACCTGGGGGCTGGCAACCCTAATCACAGCTAACATTAATAGTGGGAGATGATTTAAGCTTTATGTGTGAAAATGTCCTCTGTCTCACATGCAGTGAAGCTGCTATATCCAATGGATTTCAGTTGGTCATAATCTTTTTGAACATTCTGTGTGCCTCTTGGCTTAAAACACCAAACTGATGACAGTGCAAAGCGGCATGTTGATGCAAAAGAAAGGGCATTGCCATATTCCTTGCTTTGCCCAGGATCCTGAATGGTTCTTTTGCTTTGTGACACTGTTGTGAGCCTTACTTATGCTTACCAGGGGGCATCAGGATTGATCCTAGACTGCCCAATCAGCATGTTATCCCTAGTGTTATGTATTCACTCTATTAAATGCAATGTTAAGCTTGAGACCTTAGCCAGGATTCTAAGCTGGAACAATCCTATTGGCTAATGCTTAAGTGTAACCAATCAGATGCAAGAGAACTGTGCTGGAGGGAACTAATCTGATTGGGCATTATTGTAACAATGCTATTGGTCCTTAACTATTCTAGGGCGTGGCTACATCAGCCCGGGATAGTTTAAAAGGGAGCTATGCTCCACTGTTTGTTGTTGTGTGCTCTTCTGATGTTCCTGTTGTTAATAAAGCTGATTTCACTTACTTACGACGGCATTGAGTCAATACTTGACACCTGGGTCATATGTCACATGCACTCCGAGCCCTCTGGGATTTTTCAGAATTATATACGAATGATTAATTCCATGGAGTCATGCTGCCTAGAGTGAGATCATTCATTTCATGGTGTCAGCTTCGTCAGGAACCACTCAGATGCAATAAGTCCTTTTACAGGCTTTAAAAGGCCTGCGATATAGCTGCAGTGGCCTTACACTCATCTGAGTACTCTTGCACCGATCGGTTACCTTGTCGGATGCCTTGCAGCCGGGTTCTCGCCTTTTCCGACTCGAGAGGGTCTTCAAATTGGTGCCTGAGAGACTGCATGAAGGCATCCACGTCCCTCAATTCCAGGGCAGCCATGTTGTAGAGCCCCACGAACCAGTCAGCCGCCCTCTCCCTCATGCGCGATCCCACATAATCCACTCGCTGCTCATCTGAATTGAAGGTGTGACCCCACTCCCGTAGCATCTTGCGCACCTGAATCGCGAAGAAGGCAAGTTTGGTGGAGTCCCCATCGAACGTAGCATCCAAGGCATCTCGGGGACGTTCAGGCCGACGGGGTTTGTGTGTGTCTCGCTGGTACATCCTCAGCCCCATCGTCGTCATCCCCCACCTCTTCCTCCTCCGAGGTGGAGACAGGGGGGTTCTCCATCAATTCCTTGACCACCTTGGGCAAGTTTTTAATCAGGAACTGTAATCCCTCCTTCAACTCACGTATCTCCGATCGAGTGCTGGACTGGCCCCGATGAGTGGGGAGGTCATCCCATTCCTCACGCAGGCAGAAAAGAGCGAGAGTTGCGGCGTCGCTCTCTCTCAGTTCGTGCCCTGGCAGCCCGGAGCCCTGGGGTGCTTCCCAACCAGGGAGGTTCCTCCCACCGATCTAGTGGCTAGAAACCCACTTGCTTCTTGGGCTTAGTTCCGAGCGGCTTACGGGGTTTCTTCTCCGTCTCGCCCGGGACGCTCCCATCAAGGTCTGAACCACCATCAGCTCTTCCGTCTCCGTTCCCCATCCCGCGGGGGTGGGGGGTGTTCCTCAGGTCGAAGGGTGGATGCAGTAGTTCTGTCAATCTGTCAGCTTCGTCAGGAACCACTCAGACGCAATAAGACCTTTTACAGGCTTTATTAAGAAAACTGATTTAGTTGCTGTGCAGTTGAACTTTTTGACAGAACTAAGGAATAATACAAAGTGGGAAACTACGAGACCTTTGGTCCAGCCCTCATTCATACATCATGATTACATAGTGCATAGACAGGTTAATGCTGTGCAATTAGGACTGTGGGAATGTTATCACTTGAGTCTCTCCACAAGGCCATGAGAATGAGAAACTGCGAAAATTCCATCTGGCCTTTGCGGAGGATGCTTCCTTTCACAGAGGTACAAGCGCAGCTAATCTAAAGTTCACACAGGCATGTCTCAATCTCCCCCTCTCCCAGGAATGTCAGAGGAGGACCTTGCAGACAGATTGATACAATGCCAGCAGGTGCTAAACAGGAACTTGGGAAGCGGGGAGAGAGAACAGCTGGCGAAGCAGTAACAGAGCATAGCTATGTACATCAGAGAACCATAGTCACAAGTATGATGGCCTGATGACCCGGGCAAGGGTCCAATTCTGACACATGGCCATTAAACCAAAATGGCACTTACATTATGTAAACCAAGAAAGTGGTGTTGTTGTTGTTAAGATAAAGATGATAAAGAGCACGCATTTAAAATACAAAAATAATTATTGGAGCAGAAGCAGATTAACGGCATTCCCTGTTTCTTCTGGCAGACCCCCCAGTGCAGATAGTGGGGCGTGATGAGTTGCAAACTCATCACAGCTGCCTGGCTTCAGAGGACCTGGTACTATCAGTGACGTTGTCTTGTCCTCAAGGGGAAGTGAAGTGGTACAAGGATGGGGAGAAACTGCAGGACACGGACCGTGTGCGACTGGAGCAGGACGGGGCAGGCCATTCGCTGGTGGTCCTCGGAGCAGAGCGCAGGGATGCAGGGGAGTACCTGTGTGACAGTGGTGACGACAGCCTCATTTTCTACGTCAGAGTAGAGGGTAAGGCCTGGGCCTGGTGGGTGAGGGAGGAGGAAAGACCAGCTATTTCCTCTTTAAATAATACCCATTTTTACTATACAAAAATACCGTTCCTAACACAGAAAGAGCATAGTGTTCCAGCTTACAGATTGGTTCGGTACTGTTCTAGCAATCCAAATTCCGCTGGGGGGGGGGGAGGATTCGATATGGGAATGTGCCCTTCCACATACATTTGTAAAAGGTCAGCTTACAGTCACCGCATGCCCCTGTTTTATAAAACCAGTCTCCAACAGAAGGATTTTACCTTTGTTTTCAGTTTCTGGCAACTACAATTCTGGCTGCTATTATCATGCTGCCGACCAATCTTGGAGGGACCCTAATAGGCATTTCTGAAGGGGAAGACCAACTATTACATCTGATCATTTCCTTTCTTATCTAGGCTACTTTATGCCAGTGGGATTTAATTTATTTTCAACCCTACTGCCAATGTGTGTGTGCACTTGGACGTCTCGGAAGCACACGTCCAGCATCCATTGGGAATGCCACTATTATAACACCTGATAAAATTCATCTTTAGAACTAGAACTTGACTTGGGCCTTTGAAACAAATAACCTTTCATCATCCAGAGTGATAGGCTGAACTGTATCTTGTTTCTTCTAGTGCTTCTAATTATAGCCAGGGCTTTGCGTGTTTACATTCAAAATTATGCACCAGAAACCCTGAATTTTGCCACTGGCACTAATGATGAAAATCAAGGAAATGCTGATTACTTAAAAAAAAAAATTGTTCTGCTTTTTTGGACATGGGACTGATTTCAACTACTTTTGACAGAACTGGGCACTGCATCCTGGCCCATGTCGAACTTGGGATGTCTGAGCAGACAGTAATTGAGGCAGAAAAGCACAATGTTTTTTTTTGGTGGCGTGGAGGGAAGTCCCTGCCAGGCTGCGTGTCGTGGTGGGGCCTGAAAAAGCTGCCCACCTAGGAAAGAGGCACAGGGCAGCTTGGTCAGTGCCAGGGAAAGCTGGTTCACATCCCCCTTTCTGCTGTGAAGTTCACTGGATGACTTGGGCCGGTCACCAGCTCTCAGCCTAACCCGGGGGGGTGGGGGTGGAAAAATTATCTTGCTGCTCCGAGCAACTTGGAAGGAGGGCAAGAGAAAAATAGAATCAATAAACATGCTTTCCAATCTGCTTCAAGTTGTCTTCTCTTGAAGCCTAAGGCTTTCTGTGTGCAAGAGCCTGGATTCAAGACTACCTTTGACCTGGTAACTCTAAAACTTTGTAAAAGACAGTGGCTCACTAGTAGAGCATCACACCAGCTTTGCATGCAGATGGTCCCAGGTTCAGTCACTGGCATCTGCAGTTAAAAAAATTTCTGGTGCAGGTGTTGAAGAAGACCTTTCCCTGCCTGAGACCTCGGGGAGCCACTGCTGATTAGATAATACTGAACTAGATGGAGAAGTGATCTGGTTTGATATAAGGAGGCTTCATGGGATGGATCCCACAAGCCAGTGAATGACAGGCAACGAAAGCACCCAAGTGTACTAGTCCACCTCTAAGCAAGCTGGTGCTTTCTGCACGAGAGTAAATTGCCCTTGGCTTTGCAGAGCAGCTTATGTTTCCTCTGAAGCAAGGTCTGTGCCAATGTGCTGCTGCTGCTACTGAGCTTTATGGGACATGCCCACTTAAAGAGTCTCTCCCCCTACCTGTGGAACCTGGGCATGCCTCATGAAGCACGAGGGCCTAGTTTTTGCTTGTTGGGGTGGAAGAACAGCATTCTCCTGCCACTGCCCGCTTTTGTAGGTGCTCCTTGGCATCACCTATTACATCTGCATGCTTGGGTCATTTGTGTTAAGCATTTGAGGTGTTTGTTAGTATCCAACAGTGGTAGTAGGGGCCTTGCTCTCGTCCTGTCTCTGCCATGCATTACAAAATCTCTCTCTTTTTCTGTGTGTGTCCGAAGAGCCCCCCATCTTTATTGTGGGAAACACGGGGGTGCCAGAATACCATTCCTTGGCAGCTGGAGATGCTCTGGTGCTGGCTTGCCAAGTGTCCCTGCCTAGCGCTGCTGTACGCTGGATGCGGAATGGAGAGGAGCTAGTACCCAGCAGACATCTTTGTATTGAAGCTCATGGAACACACCGGCAACTCACCATCACTGGAACCAAACCAGAAGACTCAGGTTCCTATGTCTGTGATGCAGGCACTGACCGGATGGTGGCCACAGTGGTAGTTGCAGGTGAGACCTACTCAGAGAGCAGACTAGCAGGCTAAGGTTAACATTAAGAGTAGACCAGATAATGGGCCTCACTCCCTCTGCAGTTGAAAAATGGTTGTCAAATAAATGGCTAAGAATGTAAGACAAGACAACTCCTGATTCAAGCATCTCCTTAGACACGAACTCATGAAGTGGCCTATGGCAGGCCATTCTCTCTCATCCTCAGCCTCCTGCCTGCCCTGTGAAAACAGATAAGGCCCATTTAGTAAACGTTACTGTGATGAAAGTTACTCTTTAGAGTGTGATATAAAGGATAAGTATGTTTTGTCATAATAAGCATAATCGCGGTAAATCAAAGCTTCAGGTAGAAGTAAAGAGTCCTTCTGCAGTAAATGTTGGCTCCAGTATTTGTGGGTTGTATTGGGGAGTTGATTATGGGAAGGTGGAGCTTTGTTCTGTCTCCAGGCCCAGAGGGCCGGAGTCATGCAGGAAGTGACGTGATCAGGCTGCTTCTCTGGCTCCCGTTCTGCCAGTGTGAGGATTAGGGTCAGCGCTGGCTGAGTCCCAGGTGCCACTATGGCCCTTTCTGCCCACGGGTGCTGCCTTCAGCGAAAGGGAGAGGGAGACCTTATTGACTGGAGAGAGTGTGAGGGAAGGAGCTGGCAGGGCCTGCTGTTAGCAGGACAGGTGCCTTGAAGAGAGGCAGGGAAAGATCCCAGGGGCCTCTGCCAACAAGCTGGGGTGCCAGCAGGCTGCAGCAGAGTCCTTTCCAGCATCTGGGACTGGGCATTGTGCCCTTTTGGGGAGAAGAGGAAGAAACTGGAGGGTGAATAGAAGATGCTGGGACAGCTGCACCTACTTCTAACACGGCTGGGAATCCCTTCTTGGGCCAGACATTGGGCTTCATTCCTCATCTCACACAAACACGCCCCGGCCCTGCTGTTCCTGGAGCAGTTAGGCACTGCCTTCAGTCGCTAGTGCCCTTGCTCTGATGTATGCTAACCTGTAATGTGTAGTGACTCCTTTACAGCATAGCCCCCTACATGGCTTTCAAAAAAGAAAAAAGAAAAAAACACCAAAATTGTTTTTCAAGGTGATGCAGATTTTTACCAAGTGCAGCAGAATTTTTCAGTCTGTGTTTATTGAGCAAATTAAAGGGATTTGCTTACATTTGCTTGTTTTGCATAGTTTATTTTATTCCAGCAAGCTAGAAGGAGGACAAAGAGCAACTCTACACAATTATGAAGCATTATCCAACCCTGCTCCAGATAACCTGCCAGTGTCCACTAGGGATGTTGGCCTCCACGTGGGGCCTGGGGATCCCCTGGAATCACAGCTCATCTCCAGACTACGGAGATCACTTCCCCTGGAGAAGGATGGCCTTGTGCCCCCCGCTGGCCTTGTGCCCCCCACCGTGTCCTCCCTGGGCTCCATCTCCAAATCTCCAGGAGTCTCCCAACCTGGATCCGGCCACGCTACCCCCCCCAATCTCCTGCTGGTGGCCGAGGGGGGTCCAAGCAGCCCTAAATGGTCCGCATACGTTCAGACCTATCTTTCCTGCCATAAGGGGGGAAAAATAAACCTGCAAATGATTTATTTATGGTACGATAAAGCTGGGATTCTTTGTCTGTTGAATGCTGCACCACCATAACATCTCGTGCTTATGTGAAGAGATGAGCCCAGACATTTCAATGCTTGAGGCTGAAAATCTACGTGGCACCTCTTCCACCACCACCACCACCACCCCCAATTATAAAAGTAGAATGATAATGATAATAATTTGCTATTGAAGGGCTTGGCTTTGTGACTAGGAGCTCATCTTACTGCAACAAATGGTGTATAAAATGGTAATAATTAATTGCAGGAAATTACATATGGAGATGCTAAATTGTACCAGGCAGTCTTGAGCCTGTCCCTAAATGATACCACCAAATAATTGTTTGAGGAGGAAATGGCTGTAATTTAAATCACTTGTTAAAAATAGCTTTTACAAGAATTTTGCTTCCCTCCAGAATTTTGCTACTCCAGAATCTGCTGCCTGCTGCACCCTGCCTTATTCAAGGATTGGCCCTGATTGCAGAAATTATCCAAAACACTCTGCTGATGTTACAAGGCTCTCTTTTGTTTCAGCACCCCCCGTGCACATTGTGAATAAAAATGATGCCCAGGTCCCTTTAGAAGTCCAGGAAGGAGAGAATGTGACACTGGTGGCCCGGCTCTCGCAAGAGGCTCTGGTCCGTTGGCTGAAGAACATGCGGCCACTTTATCCTGGGACACGAATGATAATTAGTAATGACGGATCGGTACACAGCCTTACCATCAGGCAAGCTGAGCCAGGTGACAGTGGCATTTTCAGCTGCGATACTGGAGATGATGAAGTGAATTTCACAGTGTGTGTGCGAGGTAAGATGAGTCCATCAGCCTTCATGCTCAGCCTCCCAAGTCAGGCGTGTCATTCCAGGCCAATTCCACATACTGGCCTGCAAAGTATGATAGCAGAATCCTAAACTTCAGACAGCAGGTGGGAAGATGCTTCTTTTAATGCTCTTGCATATAAGAACATAAGAGAAGCCAATGCTGGATCAGGACAATAGCTCATCCAGTCCAACACTCTGTGTCACACAGTGGCCAAAAAATACCAGGTGCCATCAGGAGGTCCAGCAGTGGGGCCAGGACACTAGAAGCCCTCTCACAGAGTGAGCTCCCGTCTCTGATTCCAGCTCCTGCCAACCTAGCAGTTCGAAAGCAAGAAATTGCAAGTAGATAAATAGGTACCACTTCAGTGGGAAGGTAACAGCGTTCCATGCACCTTTAGTCATGCCGGCCACATGACCACGGAAACGTCTTTGGACAGCACTGGCTCTTCGGCTTGGAAACGGAGATGAGCACTGCAACCCTAGAGTTGGATTCAGCTGGCTTTCGAGCAAGGGAAACCTTTACCTTACCTTTACCCATAAATTTGACAACTACACAGTTCACCCCCTTCAAATCATTCATGAACAAATTAAATGGCACCGATCCTTCTGGGACTCTGCTGCTTACATCCCTCCACTGCAAGGACTATCCTTTTATTCCTCCTGCTCTCTGCTGCCTGTTTACTCCATTTTAAATCCATAAAAGGACCAGGCTCTTATCCTATGATTCAAGGCCTACTCAGGATTCTTTGGTGAGGTGCCTTGTCAAAAGCCTTTTGGAAGTCCAAGTAAATAATATCTTTGGGATCACCCTTCTCCACATGCATAGTAACTGACTCAAAGAACTAGAGAAATGCTGGTGAAAGCAGAATTTCAGCTGTTCTAGTTTTCTGCTTTCTGGGAGAATTTTTTGTTTTCTGTAGGAGAGCATTCAAAAATTTGATCCACCCACTGCAATCAGTGGGGGTGACCGCCTTATCCTGCTGCGTCAATCAACAGGGCCTCAGACAGTACAGTGGGAGAAGCTCTTGGCATCAACCATACCCTCACCGTCATCTTCCTTGCATTTCTGAGAGACTGCACTCGGGGTGACACTCTTCTGATCCTGTGACATAAATTGGAGTAGGTGGCTGTGTGGCCAATGAAAAGGAGTGCAGGCAAAAGATGAGGAGTCTAGAAAGACAGGTGGGGCCCATTAGGAACCATGAAGGGAACAGTATCTATTTAGTCAGAGTATGGCCCAATGTACTGTCTGTGAACTATCTGGCCCCCAAATTGTCCTTGGAGTTTCTCTGTATTGGAGCAGAGAGGACACTCATGGACCAAGGCATCAGAACTGTTACAGATTTGGATATCTCATGTTGCTACATGGGAAATTTGTAGTAATGTCTAAATGACAAACGAAGGGAGTAGGCAGGAGGAGCAGTCAATGGAAACAACTTCAACAGGAGTGATGCAGGGCAAGAATAAGAGGCCCTCTTCCTTCTTTTCTAGCGTTTCATAACCCCTGTTTCTTTTGTCCTTTTCCTTCTGCCAGAGGCCCTAGTCCTGTTTGTGCCAAAGCCAGAACATCCAGAGAAGGTGCTGGTGCTGGAGGGGGGCAGTGCAGTGCTCTCGGCAGTTGTCTCCAAGGAGCTGGCTGTGGTGAACTGGGAGGGACCTCGAGGTGCCTTGATGGCAGGGGAGCACTGCCAGCTACGCAGAGAAGGGCGGGTGCACAGCCTCCTGCTGAGCAACGTGAGCAAGGCTGATGCTGGCGAGTACCTGTGCCACTCCCGTCATGACCGGATGCATTTCGAGCTTAGCGTCAAAGGTGAGAGATCTGTGTTGGGCAACATGTGAGGCCGTCAAGTATAAAACTGGGTATATTT